CGGAAAACCTCTCCGGGTAGCCGCCCAGGAGGCATCCGCGCCAGATGTCCAAACCACCCCAACTGGCTTCTTTCGACATGGAGAAGCAGCGGTTCTGCTCTGAGACTCTCCCGGATATCCGAACTTCTCACCCTATCCCTAAGGGAGAGCCCAGACACCCTGCAGAGAAACCTCATTTCGGCCGCCTGTATTCGCGATCTCATTCTTTCGGTCATTACCCATAGCTCATGACCACAAGTGAGGTAAGGTGGCAATCCAAGGAGAGGGTCACCAAACTCTCTCAAGAAAATGTACTTATTCAAAAGCTATTAAGAAGTTAACTGTAGAAGATACCAGCATACCCTACAGCTAGCATACACAATTAAAATCCTGGTGGACTCAAGAATTCAAGAATTAGAGCTCTCTCTAATCATAAAAATCTTGTAACCACAATGTGACAGAAAACAATCCAATGAAGTGGGCCATGCATTTACCATGCCGTGGTCGAAGGTAAACACTCCGACATCCCTTCCGTGATGAATGTGGTTTCGTCGGATGATGGGGTTGCCGTGGTTTTTCACCCAGATGCCTGCCAGAGCATTGTTGGAGATCTCATTGTCCTCATATACACCCTGGAAACAGAGGGGGGGCACTGAATAGGAACAGAAACATGCAACCTCACAGCACAGCTGAAGCACAGGTGTTTCATTTCTGGTTACATTTTTGTGGTACACCTTCTTCCTCCCTTCTCTTTACTATGCTGCCATTGTTAAGTTACTCCTGCATTACACTTGGTTGGCTATACTTCCACAACACAATACTCATGTTCTCCTATACTTTCTGCCTTGTCCTTGGGCACGTCCACTCTGATTGGTCCATCACTTAGACCCAATGTCTGACAACTGGCAGTATCTGTCCCATCTTTTCCCTCCTCCAACAGTCCGATCACCAGAACATCATTACCTACCCCAAGTAGCCACTCAGACCCAGAATATAAAAACATCTTCATTAACTAAATGTTATACAGCTTTTATTACTTTATTATTGATTCTTGTATAATAACAGCCACTTATGTCCACTGCCATTCTCAGCACTGACAAGAAATGACAGAATCAAAGACTACATCAATCTTACTCCCAATGCATTAGAAACCAAATGAAGTACACAGACACATGTTTTGAGAGTTTAGAAATGATTCACTATACAGGTTGTAATTTGGCACAATCAAATTTCTGTGCATGTTCCCTTCCCTGGGGCAGTGTGTGGCTCAGTCAATTGGACTTTATTGGAAGGTCACCGGTTGAAAACCAAAGGTTGTCAAAGTGATTTCAGCATTGGGCCCTTAAGCAAGGTCCTTAACTGCAGTGGCTTTGAGTAGAAGTGTGTGCTATATGAAAACCAAGCACAACGTGCACGCCGTGTCTCTTTAAGGCGAAGTATGTCATGCCTGTGCATAGTCTGTGATGTAAAGTCCCACGTTCTCACAGTCGCTGATGTTGCAGTGCTTGATAGTGGGACAGGCACCCTGACCACTTACACATACTGCGGAACCCACTGTTGAAACAGAACAGAGAACATTAACTGAAACATCTGAACTATTACACTTATGGGAAATCAGTAATTAAGTTTTTAAAAAAGAAAAATTTGTTAGATGGGTGGACAGACTGCCATACCTGTACATGTGCTCCGTATGACACAGTAATCTATAATCGGGCTGCAGTTTACAGTGATCTCTAAGCAGTGGTGGGCATTGTGGTGTTGGGCAGACTTGTCATCAGGGTTGAACTATAGGAAAAACACAAATACTGACTGACAAGCTTCCTTTGTTATTTATTTTCAATTTAAGTTATTTCTACAATTAAAGTTCTAAGTGCTAAACAGGGACATAAAATCGGTACTAAAGAGAAGACGGAAGATGAAATGAGTCTGAACAGGACAACAAGCACCCACCCTGATGGTCATGTAGCCCACATAGGCATCCTCAGATCCTTCCATGAACACGAATGTGGAGTCCCGGGTGTTCTCGATAATCACCTTATCTGCTACCTTCCCAGGTGCTAAAGGGTTTGTAATAAAAAGGGCAGCAATTCTTTGGGTCACACAAAGAGTGAGGGGAAAGATATTTTACGTGACTATAACACACACTAGCCCTCAAAGACCAGTTTTGAAATGGTTCTTTACACAGATTCATATTTCAATCACACATGAAAAACAAGCTATACCAGCAAACACATAACCTTAACCATTCAGCAGAAACTCCACAAGTTAACATACCAGCGCCAATCATGGTAATGGGTGACTCGATGTAGATCCACTCGTCATTGTAAATCCCAGAGTGGACAAATATAAGTCCTTCAAAATGAGCTTCCTGTACGCCACCAAGAGCATCTTCGATGGTGTCGTAGTACTGAAGGGACATTAGCATCAGCATAATGGAGTGCGGGGAGGAAAAGAGCCTTTAAAAATCTAGAAAGTTCTTATTTTCTCATATACCAACGAGTAGCACTACTTTCCATAACCAGTTTAACTATAATTTGCATGAACAGTTATGTGTTGCCAGAAAGACCAATTTAGGATCTACCAAAATAAGGCCTTTTGAGAAAAGATTTGTCGAAGAGACCATTACAATAAAATGGGAAAATTCAATAAAATCATGAGAATTGCTCAATAAATAATACTAAAGCAGAAAGCAAAGTACTGGGATGGGGATGTGGTCTTACCAACATGTTCTCCCGTCCTTTGTACCTGGCAGGGTTGCTGTAGAAATGCTCAGCAAAGCCAGGCTTGACATGAGCTCCCTTGCACTACAAACAAGTTAAGAAACAACACTCTCATAGTGTAAGGTAATGCAGCACCTGGGCGGACAAATTATATGTGACGACACCCATGGTACTCAGACAAACTTATCAGGTAAAACTTCCACAGGAAAAGGTACAGGCGCACACACACAGGAGAGACACACCAGCTGCTGAAAGCTCTCCTTCCAGGGGTTTGACTGCTCATACTCCTCAGGATTAATCTGGTAGAACTTTCCAGGCTCAGGGTGCATCATAGGGCGTGTGTACTCAAATACTTCCATGTAAAGCCTCTTCCTATCAAATGGAGACAGAACATATGGAACAGGTGAACTCCACTGTAGGTCACTTAAAAAGCTCTGTATATATAATAATTCACTACATGTATACATTAACTCAACAGCTGAAGAAACAAAGACGATTCAGTGTAGCAAATTATCCACACGACTGGGGTGGAGGGCAGCATGAGGCTGGTTGGCTCACCAGAGGATGGGGTCATTGGCCAGCTCACTGAAGCGCTTGCACACACGTGCTGCCTGACAGAGGTCCTGCTCCAACAGGTAGGAAAAGATCTTCAGGACCACCTCATCGGGCAGCTTCTCCTGGAGGTACTGCTCAGCTGGAGCAGCTGAGGGGGAACAGACCAGACATTTTTATTAAATCATTTTTACCACCAGCCCAGAAACCAAGGACTACTCATTAGCCGGCACTAACCTGGCAGATCCAGAGATTTCCCTGAGATCCGGGGCCTCTTGGCTCGAGGCCCAAAGGTTTCTGTGGCTGAAGTAGAGGCTCCCTGCAGAGAGAAGTAGTGGTGAGGGGAGATGATCACATCCTACCATAACTGAGGAAGAACTGGTAATCAGTGAAGACAGTAACCGTACACTGCTGATCTATACAAATACAATAAAACGGCAGGTCAACAGAAGCAAGGACAGATAACAGCCAACCTCCATAGGGCTCTTTCCTGGGCAAGCAGTCCTCTTGGACAGCAGAGACTTCCTTCGTAGTTGATAGGGACTATTCTGAGCTCCAGGACCAGATTCTTCAGCAACCATGTCTGCAGGAACTTCATCATCTATGGCCAGAACACACCATACAGGCTGTCAGTGTGGCAGTTTCACAGTTCTGTGTAGTTATAATGAATGGTGAGCTTTCCAGACTGCCATCGGCCATCTGCACTAGGACTGTACCACTGTGCAATATTAATATTGATACTGCATGTTGTGCACATGAATGTGTCACATCATACACACCAGAACAGTCAATTAGGCCAAGATTAGGCATTACCGCCATATTATCTAGACATTATACAACATTATCTGAGGTCTTCTAAAGTAACATTTCTTTGCAGTTCCAGTATTTTGAAATATTGGGGACAAAATCTGCCCAATGCGTGGGGGGGGGGGGGGGGCAGAACACAGTTCATCAATATGTTTGGCAAAACATTTTCACTGTCATAGGTAGGGCTGTCACGATCACGTCACGATGTAATTGTGATTATATGATGCATGTACAATAATCACCAGGGTTTTAGATGACGGGTGAAACGTTAGTCCAGATGCCACCTTTCCGGTAGTATATGGAAGTTTACTTACACTCACAGTTTGGTAAGCAGATTAGTGGTGTGCCTAAAATATTAATGAGATGCATAGTGACGGCCAAAAGTTAGTGATCTGTATAAATTTGACGGATCCTTAGGTTTAATAAACATGTCGGACTTTAAACTGCAAGAAGTACCACCACACCAACATCTTTTTACCTTGTTTGTCCACAATATCTCTTACAAAAGATGTTCAGTGCCACTTCAGTGCTTATCGCTTCCATGATTTACTAAAACAATAGCATGTGGCGAGCTCCGCTAACTGAATTTAATAAGCATAAGGATACTCTGAATTTATACAGACTACTGACTTTTGGATGCCACAATATGCTTCTCATTAATATCTTATGCACACTGGTAATCTGCTTACCACATTGAGGGCGTAAGTAAATGTCCGTAAAGTACCGAAAAGCCGGCATCCGGACAAATGTTTCACCTGTGATCTAAAGCCTTAGTGATTATTGCACAAGCGCCATATAATCGCGATTATAATGCAACATGGTTGCGACAGCCCTAGTCATAGGAATCAAACTTAGCAAGCTTTGCAATTTGCTGTCAAAAAGTATAACATTTAGCACTGATCCTTTTGCATGAACTCTACATGTACTCTCTGAATTGATCATAATTATTTTCACCCCTGCTGTCAGACTTGCTCGCAGATAGATTTCTCACAAATGCACCACACTAACAAAAATGACTGAGGAGAAAAGTGAACAAGAACTAGTCACTAGCAGACATCTGCATTCCACTTGAAATGCATGACCAAGTGGGCTCTGCCTAATACTAAAGCTTTAAAAAAAAAATTCAACATACTTTTTAATTATTCCTGCCTCATGGGATTACACTGCTCAATTAAAAAAAATAAGCTTCAAAGACAAAGCATACTTTATTCATTCAAGATATGGTTGGGTTTGTGAGAAATTTAAGTGACAAACAGCAAGGATGGAAATTATAATGACTGGCTCAGAGTACCCATGCAATGCAAATTTTCAACTGATTTAACATGTACTAGGTAATCTTGAAAAGGAACAATCATTATATTTGCAAATTGTGTTCCCTATGAAAGAGTAAAAATGTTCTAGGGAAACAAACCCACCGCCCTCCATCACCCGCTTGGTAAATCATAATTCTGAAATACATGGCAAAATAATGTTTTCGAAGATAACGTATAGTGTGGTATAATGTCAGGACAGTATGGATGTACAAAAAGCCTGATCAACCCAGGTGATTATCATGGTTCTGCAATGTGAGTATTGCATGTGCATAACATGCAATGTCAATTTTAATATCACACACTGCCCAACCTTAATTCAGATTGATGGTTCGCTGAGCATGCCGAGTGTGCATGACACTCACTAGCAACAAACTCCATGTATCTAAAGCAAAAAAGTTGCAGCATGATGCATTTGATTTAATTTGCCTTACTTGACATTGTACATCTATGTGATTATTGCACATTCGCACATTGTAAGGATGATGTGAATACAACATATTGTGCAGCCCTAAGCCACAGCATTCTTTATAAATGCCCACAATAAAAATTGTACAACTTTACTAGATATCTTCCCATTGAGCAAAACGTGAGGCATAACTGATTATCTGACAGGTTGCTGATGAATATCATCCAGTAATCATGGTGAGTCATTAACACTCATCTTTGGCTTGATGTTCCTAAGATCCCTCATGAACACAGCACTATTTGCCCTTTAGTGAACTAGGCTAGATGGCCATTAAGGGTGTCAAGAAACATCATGCATCACGATGAATCAATTATCAAAGATAGACGTGTTTTAGAGGGGTTTAGTGCTATCTATCCATCTAGCTTTGTTCTGGTGGGAGTTGTATAGTTTTGGCGGTATCAGCTGTAGACATGTAGGACTTCTCTCAAATATAATGGGAGTGAATGGCCTTCATTCTGTGGTGATTAAAGGGCCTGAAAAATACATCTGAAAATTTCAACAGCAATGTCTCTTACCAGAAATCATGGCCCGGTTATTGAAGATAATTCAAAGACTTTGAAGTAAAGCAGCTTAATCTAGGAACTATTTTCTTCTACTGAACTTCACACACCGATTGTATCACTGAGCAGAAGATACAAACAAAAGCACCCAGATAATATCTTCTGTGCAGTGATACGACTGATGTGTGGAGGTCAGTAGAAGAAAATAGTTTGTACATTAAACTGCTCTTTTAAGAAAAGTAGCTTTGTAATAAATTTTAAGATGTCAAATGTTCTACACTATGAACTCCTTTTTTGCTTTAGAAATTCCCCAAACATTCTACACTGTGTTCAGACATATAATAAAACAGCTGCGTTGACACGGACAACCTGTGTAGGTCTATTTTTCCCCCATGCAGAAAACTGATCAGGAATCAATAAGGGAATTGTTAACAGATCAGATCGACAAGCAGAATCAATAATTAATTTGGTATTGATAAAATCTCAAATTCCCATTCCTAGTGCCGCAGGAGGGTGAACTTGAAACTTACGAGGTAACTTGAAACTGCATCATCACAACTGCATCAAAAAGATGAGTGACATGTCACATGGGGTGGAATTTGGACAGGAGATGATTTTGCATGACAGTGAACTGCCCCCAAAAAGGTTATCACATTCATGCAGGACAATGCCCCTTCCTAGGGATTAAAGCTTTTCATAGATTGACCAAGAATGGCTTGGAAGGTGACTGAATTATGACCTGGCTCTTTTTTCGCATGACTTGGGTCCAGTAGTTCCTAGTGGAGGTTGACTAAAGTGTGAGATTTACCAAGGTGTCAAGTGGCAAGTAGTGCACTTCTGACAGTAGTTAGGTGGTCCTAAATGCCTCAGCTAATATAGGACATGAATGAATCAAACATCTGACTGGTTCAATGGACAACAAGCTCATGATGGTCAGTGAGAAGAAAGGCAGATATACAGCACACTACACTTGATTAATGGGATTGTATATAACAGCCAATAGTTTCTTTCCTATATGAACTTCATAAACCTGTTTTTCCATTATTATTTCTGTCATTGGTGAAGACAGAACAATCCATTTAGTTTGCCTAATAATTTATTTTATTTTTGTTTGAGACAGACTAATGTACATTTCTCTAAGTTTACTTGGAGCTAAAGAAAACTTCTGAATTCACTTTTATAAGTCTGTCTAAGTGTTGCTAAAAATTATCACCAGGAAAAGTACTTGCCTGATAATTCTGTTTATTTCTGGGTCACGCTGCAGGTAGACACTCAAAGCAGTTTACTAAATGTAAAATGGCAGGATAGGGCTCAGTAATAAAGGTGAGCTTTGAGAAACTCACCCCTGTTTTGTGGTGCAGAACAATACCAAGCTTTTGTGAAATGCTCCTCTTTTGTAGCCAAGTACTGTAAATATGGTCAAGACTCTAAGGAAGCCAACTAGCTAGCTAAGTAAAAAGTAATGTTAGCCTTAGAGATGCACAAAATATTGGTCAACATAGTGGTATTGGCCAATATTCATTAAATATTAAGATCTAGGATATCTTTATTGTCCCGGAGGGGGAATTTGTTGTTCAGTCAGCAACATCCACAAACATCACAAAATAATAAACAGATAATAATACATCATAAAAATCTGTCTCGTTTAAAAAGAAAAAGTCAAAGGATGATAATTACAACATTAAAATCACACAGTTATTTAAAAAGCCAGTTCAATCTGGCTTTTCTCTTTTGAGGCTGAGAAACACTGTGACAAAAGCCAAGAAGGTGAGCCCTGGTGTTACCGATCTTCTGTGGTAAATCTCTAAAGCATCATTATATTAATTCAATATTGCATAAGTTTGCTTGCTGGAGAAACAGCGCATAGTTTGCTGAAAATGTTTTTGCAATGTAGTATATCATTGACTGCTGCACTTAATTGTACAAGATTAAAGGTGTATAGATTCATTTGCAGAATTTAACGTTATTTCATGTAAATTTCAACGTAATTTTATGTGAATACTGAAAAAGGATGGACGAGAAACATGAAAAACAATCTAAGAGCTTTCAATAAACACACACACAAAGAAAAATATTAGGTTGCATGTAGCATTTATAAACAGCCTATGACCTGTATGTCACATACAGTGGCTAGAAAAATTAATTCAGTCCCCTTAGTTATCAGATTTGCCTGAATTACAAGGGATATATACACATATTCTTCCTGTCACTATTTTATTGCAAACTCAGTCTCTTAGTAATTTCAGTCAAAATCATACACAGCATTAATTTTAAACAAAGAATAGTCAATTCTCCACATTTTAGACTGTTGAAGGAACATTCTTCTGGCCTATTGCCACAGCAATTTTTTACATTTGATAATGACTAACAAGTCTATTAATCAATATGACTATGCAAAACAAGAGTAGAATAAGGATGCACTGATCGACTGGCAGATGACCAGAAATTGCTGATTTTTGCTGTGATTGGCATTGACTGGCACTCACCTAAATATGGCAGATTTTATCAAGTAGTT